AAATCTACACAACCAGGCTCTAATACCACTTACATGGGAAAACTAGGAACAACCGGGCACCAATTTACCCGGATCAATTCAGCGGAATACAATTACAATTCACAAGTCCCAATTCTTTCCCTCTTTGTGCAGTAAAACAGAATCAAACAATGATGAAAAATAATGCAAATAATCACAAAATCAACACCAAGATTTTTAACGTGGAAAACCCGATGCGGGAAAAACCACGGGACCGTAGTCCACCTAAAAACTTCCACTATCAACAAATAATGGGTTCACAATCATTCTTCCTCAGATTCAACTAAGGGATACAACATATATATCATCAAGAACAACTTATTCTCGGATTACAACAAGATTAAAGGAGAATTATTTGAGAAAAACTCACAAAACTGACAGCCCCGTTTTCTGTCAAAACGGCCAGCTTCCACACCACCAATCTTCGATCCAACCGTTCAGAATGAAGATCAACGTGTCTAGAAGCTGCTGTCAAAATCTCAGCCCGATCCAACGGTGAACGAGCTGGAAATCGAAGAAAGAATGAAGGTTGCTTTGCTGCCTTTTCTTCTCTTTTTCTCTCTTGATTTTCTTCTCCTCTCTTCTAATTTTAAATCTGTTGCTACAGTACCCGAACCACACTAATATTAACACTAAGAGACAACCATCACATGATATTTAATGTGATGGTCCCACCATCACATGGTGTGGGACCATACACAACACTTACCTGTAAATGTAGCTAAATTAAATAAACTATATAAATTTTTGTGTATTTTATTTTTTATTTTATTATATTTTTTATCTTTTATCTTGTGAGATTTTACGTACCAGTATGATAACAATTCTGTATTGCCAAGTTTGTTGAGTATAACTACACAGAGATATTAACTTATAATATTTAGTGTTTTTTTTACCGTAAAAGTTTATCTTATCAGTCTATAATTTAATTATGCCTTGTTGTTAAAAAAAAATTATAACTCCATAATCGTGCAGGTTACTATTAATAAAGTAGTACATGGTTGTCAAGATACAGTTACTAACTCGACTGTACTAAAAAACAAGATCATTATACCAAGAATTTTCTTGAGTCGATTAGAATTAATCTTGTAAATTATTAATTAATAAGATTTTAGGTCATATAGCCCTTTAGACTCAGTTCATCAATTAAAAAGCTAGTTATCATAACACTACTGTAGAGATAGCATCAAGCGCGGGTAGAATTTTTTGATATTACTCATTATTCATGGTAAAAAAAGATAGCATCGGCCCGGTTGAATTTCATGATGTTATTTATTTTTCATCAGGTAAAATATTTAGAAATTCTAAAATTAATCGTTATCTATTATCTACTAATATTTATTATTCAATAAATAAATAAATATATTATTGTATTAAAATATTTAAATATCTTCTGCAAATATAAATATATATTTTGAATTAAATTCAGACGTTATATATATTATTGTATTAAAATATTTAAATATCTTCTACAAATATAAATATATATTTTGAATTAAATTCAGACGTACAGGTCTTGGATTGTATTTAACAGTATTCATAATGCTCATCATCCATAAAATAGCATAACTATCCAAAAATACACTCATTTGGGATTAAATTATAATCCCTAAACTAGTCCTTTTTGTACTTGAACATACCATCACACCCTTTGTGTATAAACTATGAACTACAGATAGCTGAGAGAGAGTAAACTGCCCTAGTCAAGAAGAAATGGAGATGGCGATTAAACCCAGAACACATGTAGTTCCGGGTTGAAATTTAGGTGATGGTTGACTGCTATAATAACATCCACCTAATAACCCGAAACAAAGTACCAAAACATTACCATAAAGAAAACAAGCATGTGCAGAAGGGAGAAGATATATCTTCCCAGGTAAAGAAAGAAAACGAGAGTCTGGCACAATCAAAACATAAAAGCACATAAGAGATTCCGTAAGATGAAGATAAAAAAAAGGGGTGGGGTTCATTTCACAATAAACATGTTGAGTGCAATTTTGAGTTCCAAAATTACATCGGGGGAAAGAGAGAGAATTCTTCTGAAACAAAATTAGAAAAAAACCTCCGAGACTCATTTCTCCTTCTTTCTAGTGGACAATTTCTCCTCCACATAAGGATATTGAGATTGAGCAGACCATAGGCCCCAGAGTATAAGTAAATGGAGACAGAGAAGAAGAGCAGATGAATAATTGTTTGAAGGATAGACATTCCAGCAAAACTCCACACCTACAAACAAAGCCAAACTGCATGCCAGAACACCAAAACTGATTGTATAATGATCATGATAAAGCAGAAAATTTATGCAAATATTGTTGGGGCAGGAAAGCAAAGTGGGAAAATTTTACCGGAGTAATGTTGGGAAATGTGTTTTCCACAATAGATAAGGCAAGCTATAGAAGTACCTGAAGTAGGAGATGTACCATTACATTACTATTTCATTTACACGAAAAGCAGAACATGAAATTTAAATGCCAAATTTTTGTACTTTTCCATTATCATCCTGAGTCATGAATTTGGGCCGGCCACGTACCATCTTCACAGGAATATATAGATGCAGCAGAAAATATTCAAGGAATGAAAGAAATATAAATCTATTAAAGAACATGAAAAGATAAAGTAAGAAAAAATAGGAATAATAAAGACACAACTAGAAAACCAATGATGCTGGTTACAAAGCGGATCATCATATCATGATAGATTAATATTGTACTCTCCTCTTAGTCATATCTTTCTACTGTGAATGAGTCAATGCATATACATGTACTTCAACAGGGAGGCAAAGCTCTAAGTTAGTGCTTTATAGACATTGAGGAAATAAAATGGATGATTCACCAGGAGCTACAATTGAAAATATACAGCTAGAAATGCAGACAAATTCTACCACGTGAACATTGATATGTTCATTTCAAACAAACAAAAAAAAACTTAAAACATTCTATTGATTAATACTAGCCCTGACATAAAGCATGCCCATCTTATTTTTGTTCTTCTGCTTTCATTAAGAAGAATGAGAGGAAAGATGGGAGCAAACCACCCTTGACAGATGGTAGAGAGGCTAAATGGAATCAAGCCATAAAAGATTATAATTTGCAGTCAAGTTTACTGGATTATGTGCACTTGTACAATTGGTTTTATGAATTCTATTTGTATCCAGAAAACACAAATAGAATAGAGAATTGTTTTGCAGTTAGTTGATAAAAGCATCAGCTTTCCAGACAGGTGAGAAGACACGTGCATTCAAGGACATGGCATGGACAGCCATCACAAAGGTAATTAGGAGGCGCTTTGGTCATACACTACAAGGTCTTCCCTCCTTCACATACTGCATTTTCCCTCCTTAATATACTCTGACAAGCTGGTTGATAGAGATATTGAAAACATTCAGACTGGGTGAAAAAAATAGTTCATTCCAATAAGCGGGCTTCAAGTTTCATAAGGTTTTTCCTCACATCTAGTTAAATCGAGGTACAAAAAATCCTGGTTGGAGAAAAGTTGATGTATTATGAGCAGTTATCACAGTAATGGACTTGCAGAAGGGTGGACAGATGTACCAAAAAATGGAGGCAAACACAATCACAAACAAACAGACAAACACAGAAAAGGGAAGGACAGAAAGATGTAGCCAAGGAAAAACACAAGTCATGTCAAAAGAGCATACCAAGAATAAAATTGATGGTGCAGCAAAAGAACATACCAAGAATAAAATTGATAATGCAGCGAGCGAGCGCATACAATGCCAATGAAGTTCCCAGCAAACAGAGTTGTCATGATATCTGAATCCATCACACCAAAATTTAGTGTACAAAACAAGAAGAGGGAAAAAGTGAGGTGGTGGAAGGAAGACAGCTACTTAATTAACAGAGAAGCAAAGGAAAAGGATCCCTGCCATCCTTAGACTAAGATAGTCACAACTTACGTTCTTCCTTGAGAATCTTAAGGCCTGAACTGCTAGAACTTGAAAGTGCAGATGTAGCTTTAGAATGCAAAAACTTAAAAAGTCCTCCTTCATGCCTGAAATGAAAATATCAATAAGTATTGAGTGAACGACTCCAGAAAGAGCCACGGGTGCATTCTCTCTCTCTCCCTCTTTTTTTTTGTTTTGAGAAATTGTCACAAGTGTATTAAAATGAGCATTTTAGAGCAAAGTTTCCACAATAGCGCTCAAAAAATGCAGAATTTGAATCTGCTGAACCAATTCTCTATGCAGACATGGAAAAACATCAGCTGGAGCCATCTTGTTCCAATTTATATGGACACAGACATGGTTATCCATCCATCATGTCCAAAAATAGAATGATGAAAGAGTAAGACAGCTGTCAAATTAGACATTGTTTGACTTCCATTAGTGAATTCACTACATCAAATAAGATATGATCCTGTGCATGGAGGAGTATATCTATGATTCAGGGACGAATACGTAGAATCATAATACTTAAACACTTAATTAGCTTCTCATAAAATATTTTCAGTCTCCACCATAAAATCTCATAGCCCCAATAGTTATCACAGATATGGATTTAGTACTTGCAATAGAGAGAATTGACTCTGTAATTACCTGCACCATTTATAATGAGCAAAAGCAGCAAGCAACCCAAGGTGAGCAATCAGCAAAGAGATTGCAAATTGCTTTGATACAAAAACTGGTTCAGGAATGAACTTGAAGTTAACAGACCTAATAGAAAACAAAGATATGATTCAACAAAAAAGCAATTGCAATGATCACAAAAGAAAATAGTACAAAGCCTAACTAATAAAGGGCACCAAATCACATGGGGTTCTGCATAAAATATTTTACATAATCCACATTTTCCTTTATTTGGGCAGACAGGAAACTTCATCAAAATAAACAGTTTTCTAATCAACCAGAAATATTTGTTCATCATAGAAGAACATATTTTCATATCATGATATGGGGAGAATATTTTATAGAGAGTTACAAACTCACTTTCTTCCATTAACACCAGTATCCAACAACTTCAACCACACAACCACCCCACCACTAACATTCTCGTCGTTGTCTCATCAATCACCACTACCACAGCCAACATCAACTTACCCAACTGACCACCATAATCAATTCTCAATCATAACCCTTTTTTTTTTTTGTAATCGTATACCAAACATTTGAAGATATTTTACACAACAAATGCACCAAAAATATCATGCATTAGCTATTGAACCTTAGGAGGGGTAGGGTGGGATTTAGGAGGGGGAGAAGGCTAGCTCACTGTGTAGCCCAAAACCCATTGGGCCTCCTGGTAAACGAAAAAAAAAACCTAATATTAACCATAAATTAGCTGCAATGCGTAGTGAGAACTTAATGAATAAAATGAACAGACAACAAACAATGCTATCTATACAAAATTCTCGTCACTTTCCAGCTGGCAAGCTATGGAAAACCTTTTCATACCCCACCCTTCAGTAAATTGATGGATCAATGTTAGGTATTGTGGTTATGCAGTTCCTAAAATGATTTTAATCTGTATAAACTGCCATAAAGGAATTCTATAATTATATTCTTTGGATCTTCAAAGTACTAGCATTGACTGTTGTAAATGTGGGGGTCCTTCAAGGTATTAGCAATGAGGTAGTGTTGTAAAATAGCAATGATGTTATGGGGAAGGGGTGTAGTAGAAGCTGGAAATCTTGACAGTAAAGAGTGTTGTGGCAGGTGAGGACTTAAGAGTATTAGTGGAGTGTGAAGTGACAAAGCACTCCAATATTGAAGTGATGATTGTGTGGTAAATGGGGGTGTCCAAGGAGTACTTTGGGAGCGCAACAACATAAGAGAATAAACAAGCACTGAGGAGGAAAAGGTTATATAGTGAGAGAAAGTAAGTTTAGAAAGAGAAGCTCTCATTTGAGTGAATGATCAAAAGGCCCCATTAGGATTGTGCCAAATGCCTAGGGTGTCAAAGGCTTGGATTAATGTGTTCAAGAGAACACATAGTTACGCTGAGAACATTTTGTACTCTCACAATAGCCTGCTCCTCCCCCCAAGCCTCTGTCTACTGCATCCCTTCTCCACTACAACCTAGTTAATAGCAACATATCCCATTGATCTATCTATAACTGTCATGTTTAATGAGAATTTCCTAAAACATGTGCAAAAATGCACATACATAAGTACATTCTAAACAGTTCTTATGAATCTTTTGAACAAGGATTAAATAAGTAGTACCAAAAGTGGATGAACACACGACCAAGATTGAAGGCTCTTGATATATATGCGATCGGATGTGAGACTAAAAAGGGCAGCCCCACCAAAATCTGCAGAACCATTGACCAATGATGTGAAATGAATGAAGAAATTGCTAAGACAAAGGCCTCTTCACCACATTAATTGCAGTAGCAGTCCAACTCACCTAACCACAGTGGAAAAGAAATTTAGAATCATGTGTCCGAGCTTCCAACACTAGAAACACTCTGCAAGTATATTTCATGAAAAAAAAAATATCATGATTGGACACAAGATTTAAGTGCCTAATGTTGAGGGACATTTTGATGAGTACATAATCCATCCCTGAGAACAAAAGAGGGAAAGGTAGAGCACCTGAACCAGGGCTGCACAAGCTAAAGCCGATATCACCCCATAGATATTCATAGCCTGCAGAAAATGTTTTCAATACAAGAAATGCAAACTTGAGAAATTCAGATGTACATTCTGAGAAACTTAAATGAATAGATAATAAAATACCTTTAACATGAGGAGTAACAAAGGTGGAGCATAGAGGAGCACATTCATCTTTATCGAAACAGCCCCACTGCACAAAATACACACACACACACATATATAGATAGTTACATATCTAAATTTAATATCAAATTCTTCGCAAAGAAAGTAAATGCACAACCTGAAAAGAATCAGTCCCAGATGCCACTTTTGGTAAAGAAGCATGGCCAATGCAGCATGGAGGAGTGTCATTGCAAAACAGTCATTGAAGAGACGAAGAACAAAGATCGAGTGCACTCTTTTTGAGAGAGAAAGCAGGATAAGAGCCCACCAAGGAAGCTGTGAATTAAGAAAAAATGTGAGCCACTATCAAGGCGTGGAGTAAAGAAAACTTGTGAATAATCTAGAAAGAAATAATAAACCTAAATGGGAATTTTCTTACTAAGATTGGTTAGGTGCACCACTGAGAGTAATGTTTGAGGTGTTAGATATATACGGTTATTAAAGCTTCAATCCCAGATATCCAGTAACTATTGGCATAAAGCCCCGCAAAAAATTACATTTTTTTTTACCTAAGCAATATGTCATAAGAAGATAATTCATTACATAAACGCGCTTTCCCCTCTAACTCATCATATAAATGAGCTTTCCCCTCAAAACTGGAGCAATTCAAAGATTTAGGATATCAACACAACCACCAGTGAAGCTATCAGCAAGACCACTGTGATAGTTATCAATACAGGATTATGTCTAATGACTAGAGAGTGCACCAGATTTGATTTTATAGTTGTACTAAAATATGGCTTGATGAGCCTCTATCCAATGTATGTGTCCAGCAGCAGCAGCTGTTATGCTTTCATCACATCTTCACAATTTTGCTCCTACCTCATCATTTAGTGACTACAATGAAGGACCCATCCGCACTTGCTGGAGCCTCATAAATCTCGTATTACTTAATTCCCAACTCAAAAGGATTGTTCTGCTGCCATCAAATTGTTTAATATGCATAAAGTGGGCGATTTTGGCAGCTCAGAACACCACATAAATGGATGCTCTAACTATACTAGTATACTAACAATACACCATCATTTAAACTTCCAGATGTCAGGCATCAAATAACAAATGCTACATTTTATTCACATTGCTTTTGACCACACATCAGTTTCATGTAGATGTCTAGTGATGCAAAAAACACTATTTTAAGAAAACTGGAGAAAATTTTCGTACCACTTCAGTTTTCACATAGATGAAGATGACGATAGACAGGTTTATGATGTATAAGATGCCAAACAAGATCTGCAATCACAAAATGAACAGAAACAGTGAGGTAATAATTCCATGCAAGCACAAAAGCTAACTGAATACAAGGAACATCTGTAAAACAACCAAAAGAAAACAAGAAGCTGGTAGAAGGGACAAAGCAGACAAAGGTGTATTACTGATTAGCAGTCACAGACTTCAATTTTACACAATCAAAACCAATAATTAAATCAGACAAAACCCGTTTAATCGCAGCCCTCGATGAATTGATAGCACAAACAAGATTTCACCTAGCAAGTTGTTCAAAACAGGGTGTTTTGCATCATATAGCAATGATAAGCAGTTATGAAGAGAAGTACTTATTCCACGCCCTACAACAGTCCAAAATGTGACTTAGATTGATTACCTGAGCAGGATAAACCTCCCCTCCAGTAATAAATCGAATGGCAGAGTAAATATACAGAAAACCAGCAGGATAAACCAGTGGCCCAGTATCGCCTTTCAAGTTAGTGTAGTCCCTCTCTCCTCCAAGAAACCCAGTAACCTGTTTGTTATTTTGCATTATCCCCTTCATTAGTGGTTTCAACTAATAATTACAGATGCCCAAAAGTCAAAATTGTATTCATTGAATCTCAGTCATTTTTCAGTGCAATTAAAAAGCTTGCACTCGTGGAGAAAATAAATAATCGGCACCTGTGACATGTATGCGTCCCAGTCAATTTTGGTATCTGATAATCAATGAAACCAAACATTTTTATGCCAACGAAAAAACAAAAGGCCGGATAAATATATAGAAAGAAACAAAAGGAAGTGGAAATAATGAGCTTACAGGGAACGTAGGCGATGATAAGAGCAACGAGGAGGGCATCCATGAAAATTAAAGCCAATGCGAAGGCCGCTTTGGGGTTTTTGAAAATCTGGGGTCTTCGTGAGCGAGAGGGTTGTCGCTTTCTGCCTGATTTAAGAGCCATGGGATGGCTTTCCTTTGTCGTCTCCCTGCTATGCTTCGTTACAGTTACGATTGAAAGAAAGAGGGAGGCAAGAACACATGCCCTGGAGCTAATGATAGAGAATAAAGGAGAGCTGCCTGGAATTTGGTTTTAGTTCAATTTGTTAGGCATTCCTGAGAAAATAAAAGGGTTTTCTTTTTATTCTTTGAGCACTTAAAAAAACACACTTTGGAAATTATCAAATTATTTTAGAACCTGTTTATTTTATTTTATAGAAGTGATTTCCTAGATTACTTTTTAATTATTTTTTTTTATCATTAAAAAAATAATTAATAAAAAATATTTAAATTACTTTTAATTTTTATTTATTTATTATTGAAAAATTAATTAATAAAAAATATTTTTTCAGTTAACAAAAAATTTGATTTTATTTCTAAAAAAAATGTTTTTGTTGGGTAAAAAATATTTTTCCATGAAAAAATCAAAAATATTTTATTATTTATTTATTATATCAAATTTAATTTTAAATATTTTTTTATTATTATATTTTTTTTAAATTTTTTTAATTTCATTTTTTAAAGTTTAATTTTTATATAAACTTGAATTTTATTTTTTTTAAAGTTTAGTTTTTATATAAACTTGAATTTTATTTTTTATTATTATTTATTTTTTTGTTATTTTTTATTTAAAAAATTTTATCTATTATATTTGATCCATATTTTTTAATTGCTATTTATTTTTATTTAAAATATTATTGTATATTTTTTTAATTTTTTTAATTTCATTTCTTAAAGTTTAGTTTTTATATAAACTTGAATTTTATTTTTTATTATTATTTATTTTTTTGTTATTTTTTATTTAAAAAATTTTATCTATTATATTTGATCCATATTTTTTAATTGCTATTTATTTTTATTTAAAATGATTTATAAAATTAATTTTTTTTAATTTTATCATCTTTTAATTTTTTTATCTGTCAAATTTAGTTTTAATTATTTTAATTATTATTTATTTTATTTAAAATAATTTATAAAATTTAATTTTTTTCAATTTTATCCTTTAATTTTTTTATTTATAAAATTTAATTTTCATTCTTTTAACAAACTTAAAAAATAAAAATAAATTTTGGTTGGTAATTAATGTACCTGAAAATATATTTTTATCTAAAAATATATTAAAATATTATTATTTCAAATTTATTTTTCACATTAATATATTCAAATAATATAAAAACATATAAAAAATTCATTGAAAATAAATAAATAATCCCTTTTTTTTTAATACAGGAACACCACAGAAACAAACACTAAGCAACAGTGGCGGACTGGTTACTGGACCAACTAATTAGATCCTGCGGATAGCCACCGCCACAAAGGCTAATCAAGGCAGCTAACGAAGATGTTCCAAGCAAGTCAAACGACTTTTAATTTTTTTATCTGTCAAATTTAGTTTTAATTATTATTTATTTTATTTGAAATAATTTATA